GCCAGCCTGGTGGCATAGTGGTTAAGTTCCTGTGCTCCACTTTGGCCACCCGGGGTTCGCAGGTTCGGATCCTGGGCACAGACCCACGCACCGCTCATCAAGCCATGCTGTGGCAGCGTCCCACATACAAAAAATAGAGGAAGATGGACACAGATGTTAGCTCAGGGCAAATCTTCCTCACCAAAAAGAGGAAGATTGGCAACAGATGTTAGCTCATGGCCAAACTTCCTCACCAAGAAAATGCATATATATTAAACAAAATTTGTATGCTTTTCTCCTGTTAATCTGTCTTATGTCAGTTTAATACTTAGGCCCAGCCACAGAACCTAGGAGGGTAGAAGTTTTTCCTCCCTTACAGTAACCAATGGGGAAACTAAAAAGAGTGATATAATTACACAGAGAGGAGGGAGAGAAGAGAGATAAGTAAGCTTACACTTTATCAGAGCTGAAATTTGATTGATAGATGTCTAAATAATGGAAATTCCCGTATTATTTAGAGATTAGGAAAAATCAATAGATACAGTAAATACAGAGTTTAGGAGTTAGGGAGTAGAATGGGGCTGGGTGGGAAAGAGTAAAAAGAGGATTGCTGCTTTTCATTATAGGTCTTTCTATACTATGTCATTTTGTAATTGTTTATGTATTACTTTGATAAAAGGTTTTTTAATGTTCTAAAAATCTTTTAATGTAAAATCCTTTGGAAAGCATTTAGCACAGTGCCTGGCATTCATCAAGGAGCTTACAGCCTGAGCAAAGATTTTTGGATCTATGTGTGGCACAAAAACTTCAAAGCCCACCTACTTCCAGGTTGGGGCAATAGAGTGTACTCTTAACAGAGAATAGAGCAGGATCTCCAAATATTCTGCTCAAAGTAAGACCTCTCAGGACATTTGCATGATCCTGGTAGCTGTAATGAGAGAACTCCAGTAATGACTGAGATTTCGTTTCCCACCAGCCTGTGCTCCAGCACCAGCAACACAATTTGTGGGGCTCAGTGAAAAATGAAAATTCAGGAGAAAAAAGTTCTGTTGACAGAGCAAGGAAAAAATACTGTTAAAGGTACTAGAATATAAAGCTGTTTCCTTTCTTCTGCAGTCTCTCTCAACTTGTGGTATTTTATATTTGCTTTTTAACGTAAAATTTTAATTAGCATGAATGTTACTGATACCAAACCTCTTAATCTCAAATTCCTGTGCCTGATGCACTGTAAGCCAATCACTGAGATTTGGGTGCTTAGAGATGGAAAAAGGTTTATTTGAATTGGCCAAAATGAGAAGACAGGAGGATAGGTTCTTTCAAATCCACCTTCACAAGAGAATAAAGGAGGGGGTTTTATAGAGCTAAGGGGCTTGGCAGGAGGAGTTTTAGAGAAACAAAAGGGAAATCAGTGTTTCTTTCACTCCAGATAAGCCCTTGGGCAATCTGACTTTTGGGCATCAACAGCAGCTGGGGGCTGGTTATCTGGTGATCAGATCATAAGTGCCTTGAAGGAATTCTTTTTCTTCTCCCAAACAAGCTCATAAATCCTTGTGACCCTTGAGTCACCCCTCAGGTTAAACAAGAAAACAGCAAATTGACAAAATTTTCTTTTTCATCTATGTCTGTGCTGGGAACAAAGTTGAAAGGTAATCATGTTTTTATTGAATATTTACAGCAACCCTCAGATACCTGGCTTCATTACTTTTCATCTTTATATTGTGCAATGCCACTTTCAAATGCAAATATATGAACATTTAACTCATGTGGAATCACCAAAATTACATAATTCTGATTTTGTAGCTTGTACAAGTATACGTATTTTGTTTTTACCAGAACAGTGAAAACGCTGTGCAAAACTGTCAACAGCTTTTATTTCATTTTACACATCTACCAATACTCTACCTTCAGCTAACTGATGAGCAAGAGAGAACTGAAGGAAAAAAGAACTGTAGGTTGCACTATCTTTCCCTCTCCTTCTATGTCATCATTTTCAGGGTAAGTGGTTGGCTAGAACGGAAAGTAACACAGGTAAAAAAGGATATGATAGGGTTCCTCAGTTGTGTTTCTTAATATGCCATTGCCTTCTGTCTGCAAAAGAAGTTCCGGTTCAAAAAAACCCATGATCTCTATGACTGTCAGCCACCCCAGGCCAGCCTTTACCCAGTGGTAGACCTAACACTCACACTTTTTACTCCTTTGACACATGCTGAATTCTAATGCATTGTGTGTCCACTGCAATTCTGTAATCAAGGGGCATCTCAAAGGCTATATGCCAACAGGGCAGCAAGGAAACGCATCAGATACATATATTGTGTTTATCTCCTCTGCTCAAGTGCATGCTCTACAGTTCCATTGGATGTCACTTACAAAACACATGCCCAAAGATAAAATTTTCAAGAATTTCAAGACAGCAACAACAGAGCATTGAACCAAGCATGGAGCCCTGCTAGGAAAGTGGCCCTGTGAGACCACACAGGTCACACACCCATGAAGCTGGCTTTGCTGAGCTGAGTGTAATTTAATTTGATTTCAAGAAAATAAATAAACATGACATTTCTCACACATTTAAGTTTGTGGAGTAAGATTCATACCTGCCACAGGTGAGGGTTTTGTCCAAAATTGTATTAATACAAGACTAGAATTTGGTTGTCTCTTAAAATGACAAGTTGTCTTGAGTATTAGGCTTGCTTTTACCTATAATTGGCCCTGATAGCAGAGATTCTATACCATAAACTGACTTTGGCATGCCCTTAATTATATTTTTTAAGTCTTAAAGAGCTAAATTTCCTTATATTATCTTATTCTATGTTTATTTTAAAATACTATATTGTAACTTTGATTACTCCTCTGACTATCTCCCTGACTATAATGGAAGACCCCTGAGACGAAGAATTTGTTATATCCAGCTGCTAGTACAGGAAATGCTCTATAAATGTTAAATATTTGAGTCAGTGAATGAATGAAGAAATAAAGTTGCAGGATAATTTAATGAGACGTTAATAGGTTTTTTTATGGTATAGAAGAACAACAACAAAAAATAAGCATTTTGCTTTGTTCTCTGGGTTTTTCCCTTTTTAGATCCCGTAAGTACTGTCGACGCAAAATAACCAATAACCACTCTATACATAAGAGAGAGAAGGTGAGTTTTACTTGAGCCAGGGTGAGCATTATAACTTGGGAAGGCAGTTTCCACATAGGAAGAAAGCATTCCGGAGAAGCATGGTTTTCAGTACAGTCTTATACTTTCTTAGAACAAAGAACATACATTAAACACACCCAGGATACACATTCATCAAAGTTTCAACGAGGTATTCAGTTGCAAATTAGCAGGTCAACATAACTCTGATGCTGGGAAAGGAACTAATTCAGGCGTTACAGATACTGGCGAAGGAGGGGAAAAAAGCATTCTTATCTTAGGAGAGTGCATTCTTTAACAGTTAAAGCAGACATACAATGTATGTTTGACAGGCCATACGTCAGGCTTCTTCAGTTCAAGCCAAATCAGTTTTGAACTAGAATAGTTGCCCCATATACCTCAATATGTGAAAATCTCTTGTCAGTAGCCAGGAAAGCATTCCCCTGCCTCAGATTCTCTTCCTAGTTTTTGTTAAGAACATGCCTGGAGTCATTCAGGGAAATAGGCTACAAGGAGGTAGAGAGGAGAAAAATGAGAAATTTGGAAAGGAGAGAATTTCCCAAGACTGGAAAGCAGATAGTGGGGTATGGGACCTGAATAATGAGACCCATGTCCTCCTCCCTGCCAGTGCCCTAGTAGGTGACAGGACTCAAAGAGGAATGGCTGGACTTGACACTGGGGCTCAAGAATCTAAAGAAACCAGGGGGCCGGCCCCGAGACATAGCGGTTAAGAGTGCATGCTCCGCTGCTGGTGGCCCGGGTTTGGATCCCGGGCGCGCACTGACGCACCGCTTGTCAGGACATGCTGTGGCGGCGTCCCATATAAAGTGGAGGAAGATGGGCACGGTTGTTAGCTCAGGGCCAGTCTTCCTCAGCAAAAAAAGAGGAGGATAGGCATGGATGTTAGCTCAGGGCTGATCTTCCTCACAAAAAAAGAAGAAAAAAGGAAGAAGAAAGTTAATGCCATCTCATTTAGATCTCTTGTAGTAAAAGAGCTATGCAAGTATATAGAAGATGTTACCATTACAGCATATATCAGCAAAATCTGTGTTGTGCCTTGAACTTGTATTATCATCCTTCAAACAACAATGGCAAAAGATTTTTAAAATATTTTTCTACTACATCTATATCACATTTTTATATATGTATTTATCTTACTTCCAGGTATTTTCCTATTATATTACTTTAACTAAAACAAAACACAATGTCTTCATTTTATTATTTCTTTAATGTTTTAAAATTCAAGATACTTTAAATTTTTTAAAGACAGAAGATTAATAAAAATAACTTTACCTTTCAAATGTGACTTTTTAACAGCAAAATGGAAAAATGGTAAGTCTCCCTTAAAAAATAAAATCAGCACTTCCAACAAAACTAAAGGAAGGCTTACATATAGAGCTAATTCAGAAAAGGGGAAAACATCTAAGGAAATGGATAAATACCTTATTTAACCCAAAAAATTAAATACCTACTGGATCTTAATAATGAAGTTTTCAATATGCTATTTAAAACAAATTATCCTTAAAAATAAGTTTTTCAAAGCATTCAATGTAATCTCTGAAATGGTACCTTTGTTAACATAATATGTGCCTTAAATATACCAGACAATTATTTAGAACCAGCAAAATAAAAACCAGCAAAATAATTTGCATCTGAAAGCCTGATATTCTGATCCACTGGATTTACATTTTCCTAAGTATAATAATAGAAACAAATCTTTTGGGGTACTCAACATATTAGAAGCACAACTACTTATTTATAATTGTTAACTTTCAACAATATGACTCAGTAAACAACACAATACTTTAGCAATCATCTTATGTGAAATGACAAGTGGAAAACAAATTTCTCAATAACAATGGGTCACCAAATTCTTTCATCTAAGTTACCATAAAAAATTAATTTATTTAAAAAAATCTAAACACACAAACATGATGAAACATTTTTAAATTAAACTGAAATAAGCTATGAAACTTCCTTTCTCCCTTTTACAAAAAGAAAGTTTCAAAAATAAAAGGATAAATTTAATTCTAAATATTTCTTATTGTTTTCTAATACTATTTGGTAAATTATTTATTCAATCGCTTTTTTAGGTTCTCAAAGTGTTCCATATCAACATCTTGTAATGCTAGTACCATTGCTTTAGACAAGGTGGGATTAAATGAAATAGTCATTAGACAGCACAAATCTATTAGATCTCTCTGACATTTCTGCAAACCTTCCAGGAACTTTCGATATTGAAGAGGATCTTTTTTTAACTGTTTCATTTCTGGTACTGAATACCCTATCAGGCTAGTAAGTATTTCATCTACAAAGTCTACATCTAGATATGCAGTACCATCAGAAATCTTTGCTGTTATACTCCAAAGGCCACCAGAAGCTGAGAGATTTCCAGTTAAGGTTACAATAAATGCTTTGACTGTCACTGTTGTAACTTCCTTTGGTTTGCTGGCCATTAGAACAGACAAATAGACAAAAGGTGGAGAATACAAATCCATGGCAATGGAAAGATTAGTGTTATTCTCTGATGATCTTAAAGAATGGGTCTGTAAATGGTGATCACTTTCATCAGAAATTTGTGAACTCTTTTTTGGTACATAATTGACCAGCTCTCCATTTAATATTTTATTATTTAAGGAATGTCCATCTGAATTGCTGATGGTTTGTTTTACTTTATTATCTGTCTCTGAGTTCTTATCTTTATTTGTAAAATCATGGGGTAGGGGTACCTTATGATGAATTGAAAAAACACTACTGTTTTGGTCTCTAGCAGATGGACAACTAAAAGATTTGTCTTCATTAGTCATTTGTTCAGATAAATTTTTTTCATTCCAATTACTGTTTCCATTTTTGCAAATCAAAGAAAAATTATTTGGAGTATTAGGTTTATGTGAAAATCTCTCTATACTTTCATCTGTGGTTCTGTTCAAAGGCAATGGCTGCAATTCTTTAGTCTCCGTTTGTTCTTTCTGGACACTTTCTTCTAAAAGCAAGGCCTCCTCCAATGAAAAGTCATCTAATTCCCCAGCAATGAAATGCATGGATTGATTTGGTGGTTTCTCCTTTGGTCTTGGAGAAATAATAAGTCCTGGTTCAAAACTTGACTGTCTTGTGGGAACAGTATTTGAGGAACTACCTGTACTGAAACATCTTCTTTCCAAGGAGGTGTCATTATTTGCTGCAAGCTCATCACTTTCATCCAGACTTGCCAAGAGTTCTTCATCAGACGGTCCCAACGCAGGATCTAGAGCGTCTGTAATTCTGGAGATGCTTTGGTTAGAATTACTTGGTGTGACTGAAGCTACAGGATCAGGTTCCCCAATTAATCTTGCAAGTACTTTTTCTTGGGCATATTCCTCTAAAAGAGAATCTACTTCTCCTCCTAATACCTTCACATTTTCTGGTTTCAATAAGAGAACACCAAGACGGAAAGAAATGTTCCCATAAATCAAAATTTTTGTACCTGGAGGAAGATCACTATTAAGAGCTGGGATAGACTGATATTCCATTCCCTGCATTTGTACAATTCCATCAGTTAGCTGTAGCATCAACAGTCGTGAAGGCTTTGCTTCCCAATGTTTTTGGGTTACTTGTGTTTCAGCTGTAATTAGATCATTTGTTGTATTCTTTCCTCTTAATTTTTGTATCTGCGAATATGCAGGTTGACTTACATCAACCAATGAATTAATCTGCAGAGCAAAAAATCCATTCAGTTCTCCTTTTGGAACTTCTAAAATGCCATCAGGCAAAAGAGGATGCTCCAAATCTCTCAGGTCGGTAAGAAGCCATTGCTCAAATACTTGTTTATTCAATTGTTCCTGACTCAAATTAACATTATCATTTTCTTCTTGGATCCAGTTAATACAAGCTTCCAGCCACATTAGAGGTACCTTAACATGCCACGTAGCTAAAAGCCAGGTTTCAACTCTTAATGCAATACTAGTTACACTCATTTCTCTTAAATAAAAATTATGCATCTATTACCTGAAAACAAGAAAGAAAACAATTATGATAATTCAGCACACTGAAGTATAGTTTCTATAATGCTCTACAATACACAAACAGGCATAACCACACCCTTTCGATTTTTCTCTCTTCAGCATCTTAAAATTCTTTGACTCTCTATGTGGCCAAAATTCAAATACCACAAGTAATCAGATGGTATAATGAGGAAAAAAACAAAAAGGTTTAAGAGATGTGTCTAGGTTTGAAAGCTAGCTCTGTCCAATTACAAGCTCTGTAATATAAATTTTTTAACTTCTTTAACCCAGCTTTTCTTCATCTGTAAAATGTCAATACCACCATTTATCTTACAAGGTTGTTGTGAGGATTACATAATTAACATTTGTAAAGTATGTCAGACCTATGAAAGACACACAGTAAACAGACACACAGTAAACAGTAATTATTATCATATTAATATAATAATCAGATCTAAACATGTAAAACTTAGTTAAGAAACTATTCACTAAGGTTCTTTTCATATCTATAATTCATACTCTATTAAAATTTATACCATTATGTTTGGCCATTTAGCACTTAAATATTTCGTCTTAGGATAAAATTATAACAAATAACAATAGATTCTGAGCTGATGTAAAGCATCTTATTTGTTTGGCAAAACAATTCTCAACACTCCTATCAGGTAAATATGCTTCTGATTTTCTCAGTATGATAAAACAGCAGCAAAACACTAAAGACTAATTAACCTTGTGTTCACAAAAGTATATTTTTTCCTTCTAAAGATGAAGCTATCTAAGAATTAGAATTTATAAAAGTTTTAATACGTCCATAAGAAAACTTACCATTTGGAACAGAAGCACAGGACTTGATGACAGGATTTGGAAGTAGTTGTTCAGTGGAGTAGTTGTAACCTCTACTGCTCAGAAATGGCCCTGGGGGCTAAGACAAGAAGCAATAACGGTTATAAGATGAAGCTGCAAAAACAATCACTGGCCTATTTTCATAAGTGCAAGAGTCTGATGGTAGTTTTGGGGGTTCCTGTTATCAATCAGGGTAGAGTGGAGGTAAAACAGAATAAAAACACGAGGTTTGAAGTAAGATAAATAGAAGTGACCATGAGAAACTTACACAATCTCTCTAAGCTTGTTTCCTTGTCTACATACTTACTTCAGAGGGCTACTGTGAAAACTGAAGTAGAGAGGAGAGGACAGCCAGCAGGGCACAGGCACAGGCTCAGACCTTGGGCAGCTGGGTCAGCTGACCCAAGGCGGCAATTTAGCCCCACGTAGGCCACTAACCTTGGCCTCAGAGTCATCACTGCCACGGCCAGTCAGCCACAGGGCATCCAGCAGCTGCTGTAGGCCAAGAAGTGGGTTGCCCAGAAGGTGTCCAAGGCCTGCAAGCAAAAGAACCAGAGGCTGAAGCAGGCCAAAGCAGCTCAGGCTGCAACTGAACAGTACTGCCTACAGAGGGAGAAAGGGTTCATGGCCAGGGAAGCCGCAGCTCTGGGATCCACGGCAACAGCAGCACATAAGTGGAGAAGGAGACCCAGGAGAAGACGACCATCCTCCAGACCTACTTTCAGCAGAACAGGGATGAAGTCCTGGATAACCTCTTGGCCTTTGTCTGCGATATCTGGCCAGAAATCCATGAAAAATGCCATACAAATGGATAGGGGAAGAAAAAAGAAGTGCCTGTTCCATGTACTAGCATTTTAGATGCCTTCATGGAATATGAAGCTTTAGCAAAGCTCAAGTTATATTCTTGTGAAAAGGAATTAAACTATTTCTGTATGTTACATAGTAGCTCCCTTCACTTTTTGGAGAATAAAAACCTGGCTTCTTTGTACAAAGTCAGAGCTTAGTGCAAAGGTTAAATTTTTTATCTCATATTTCTTTAAAATTTAATGGGTATACATTGTCTGGTTTCCTATGTCTTTTAGCTCAAGCAACATATATGTCAATACTTTCTTTCTTTCTTAGATGTAGTAAAAAAATTAATTTTTTGAAGAAAGAAAAGGATTAAAATTTTTAAAAAATTAAAATCGTCCCATTTGCAACAACATGGATGGGACTGTTAAGTGAAATAAGCCAGAAAGAGAAAGACAAACACTGTATGATCTCACTCATATGTGGAATATAAACCAACACATGGACACAGAAAACTGTACTGTGGTTACCAGGGGCAGTGGGGGTGGGGGGTGGGCACAAGGGGTGAAGGGAGTCATATACATGGTGATGGACAAACAAAAATGCACAACCCAAAATTTCACAATGTTAAAAACCATTAAAACATCAATGAAAACAAAATGTTTATTTTAAAATATTACACCCTACAGTGTAAATAAAATATGATTTAAGAATAAAAAAAAAAAAGATAAGGCCTAAAACTGAAAAATCAAGAAGTAGCAATATTTGCATGGTTTCCAGAGCCAAAGAAGCGAATACAAAAAAGTATCAGCTAGAAAAATATAAAGTGGTTGCTTCTGGGGAAGAGAAACAAAGGAGGAGGAGGGCAGGGGATTACTATTTTTCAAAACAACTCTTTAAAGTTTGATATTTTAAATGATATATACAAAACTTTTGTTTTCTTTCATCTTATCCTATGTTCCATTGATTTCTTTGTATTGATGTTTAACTTTTGGGGGAGATTTTCTTAATGTTAACTTCCATGTCTTCTACTGAGTTCTTCATTTCTGCTACTGGCAATGAACAAAATAGTACAACAGTATGTATGTTTAAAAATTAAAGGTATGAAGGACAAAATGCTGTCCCCCTAAGATCAAGAATAAGGTGAGCCAGCCCCAATAGCCTAGCGGTTAAAGTTCGACGCTCTCCGCTTTAGCGGCCTGGGTTCAATTCTGGGTGCAGAACCACACCACTCATCAGTCAGTAGCCATACTGTGGTGGAGGCTCGCAGAGAAGAACCAGAAGGATTTATAACTAGAACATACAAATCTGTACTGGGGCTTTGAGGATGAAAAAAAAAAGAGAGGCAGATTGGCAACAGATGTTAGCTCAGGGTGAATCTTTCCCAGAAAAAAAAAAAAAAGAAGGAAACTAAAAAAAAAAAAAAAAAAGATGTCCACTCGCAACACTCAACATTGTACTGGAGGCCCTTGCCAGTGCAATACAGCAAGAAAAAGAAATAAAAGGTATACAGATTATAACAGAAAAAAATAGCATAAAGACAGACATATAGACCAATAGAAGAGAATATAGAGCCCAGAAATAAACTCTCACATATATGGTCAAATGATCTTCAACAAGGGTGCCAAGATGACACAATGGGGAAGGGACAGTCTCTTCAACAAACGGTGCTGTGAAAACTGGATATCCACATGCAAAAGAATGAAGATGGGGGGCCGGCCCGGTGGCGCAAGCGGTTAAGTGCGCGCGCTCCGCTGCGGCGGCCCAGGGTTCGCTGGTTCAGATCCCAGGCACGCACCGACGTACTGCTTGGCGGGCCATGCTGTGGCGGCGTCCCATATAAAGTGGAGGAAGATGGGCACAGATGTTAGCCCAGGGCCGTC